TAAGGCCTCCATACATGGGTTGTGCGTGCTAACCACTGCGCCGCCAAAGCATGCCCACAACTCAACAATTAAAGGAAAAAAAAAAGACAAAATTGCTATCTATAAAAGTAAAACCTGTGGAGGAAGATTTTTATAAACTGCATTGCCAAAAGTATTCTCTCATCGAGTAGGACCTGAACTTAAAATCCATATGGCTTAATATGAGCAGTCTAACCATTCTTCCAGACGCACATTTGGGAGATCATAGATCAGTGTTGGATGAAAAGTTCTTGCTCTCACTCTCTGCTCCATTTCTACCCCAAGGTTGCCTTTTGGATTTCGGCTTGGACTTTGAAAAGACCAGTTAAGCTCATCCAGGGCAAACTCTCTAATCCATGTATTTATTGCCTTGTCCACTGGCGCACAATCATGTGGTAAGGCAAAAGGGGACATCTCCAAACTGTTCCCACAAAGTTATGAGCAAAATAATTTCTAAAATCTCTGCACTTGTTGAAGCATTTAGGGTTCCTGTCATTGAAATGAGGGGGCCTTGCCTAGCTCCTGAAAACCAAGCCCATAACATATCACCCCCCATCATTTCATGGCTCAGCTGCTTCGGAGTCCATTTGACAAATTCTGGAGCGAGGAAATTTCCCGAATGAAACTTGTTAAACAAGAGGCATCCAAAGGTGAGATTCGCTGAGATTTTCTCCATGAAATGACCCAATCTTTCGCAAATGTTTGTGGAAACAGTCTGCATGCGTCTACTGTCAATTTCTCCTCTGTGAGATCAATAAAATCCATCCATGAACGTAATTGAAAAACCATAATTGAAATAATTTCAAAGGATGATGGAATCCTTCTGATGATATTGTGTAATTACATGGACTGGCTCTTGTAATGAAGCCAAGACAACAGTATCTCACAGTGGCCGTGTTAAGCCGCAGGATGCTGCATCCTTTAATAGGAGTTTGTTAAACAGTCACCAATGGAAAAGAATAATAATGAAATTAACATAAAAAAGATATTATAAACAGCAAAATATAAAGCCAAATAAAATATACTAAGTATGTAAATACAAAACAGCGAGCATTACTATCAAGTCTCATTATTGGACTGAGGTTATGGAGGCAGGTATAGGCGTACCCATAGAAGCAAAAAAGTGAAATGAAGCATTTAATGAATATAAGGGCAAACTTACAGAACAGAAAACAGGCACAGATACAAGAAGTAAATGGAATGAACAATAATGAATAAAACAAGAACCAAGCAAGGGCTTAAATATTAAGTAAAACAAAGAGAACCAGTGAAATGAGCAAAGATAGGTGAAAGAAATCTTCTGAAGCCATGAAGCATATTCAATAATGCAAATATCTTCGTGTGCTCCAGTTTAAAGTTTTAACAGCAGTCTAAAGTGAGTACAGCCACGGATCAGGAATTACCTACCTTGACAGGGTATGTGGAGAAGATGCTTTTCTTTTCATGCTGGACTTTGCACCTTGTTGCTTTGAATAATTTCCAGTAGCTTCAAAAGTTCCAGTACCTGCTTAATCAGGATATCATTATACTTGATTTGCTAGCAAACCGCCCAGGCATTATCCCTGCAGGTGATCTATGAGGTCTTGCCTGTAGAAAGATGAGAGAAAGCAATGGAGACAAGTTGTAGCCTCCTATTAAAGAAACCCTGGTTTCAGCAGAATCACAGACTGATCCACATCAAACCACGGTACAATGATGCGTAAGTCTTGCAAAAGGAGCCAAAACACAGTATTCGGCACTTCGATTTTACTTTACATAAACATGCTTTTCAGAAAGTTGCAATTTCTTTTTTATAATTTCTTTTTTCTTTTTTTTTTAATGGAATCAGCTTTGTTATAAATTCTGTTTTATGAGAAATGTCATTTGGGATTTTCATTCCCGTTAAGTCATAGTAATAAAAAAATAAAATAAAAGATAAAAATAAAATAAGAGGAAACAGATTAAAAACCCCTTCATGTATAGAATGGATATAAAAATTAAATAAGTTGAACTTTTCAATCTGTATACTGAAATCAATGTGCTTTGATCTTCATAATCTGCTGTATGTAGATGGTGCACCTGAGTTCATTATAATATTTTCAATCTATCCATTGATTAACCTATGACGAGCAAAGTTAACACCAGTATTCCTGGCATGGCTCTAAAGACCAGTGTATGTTGTTTACATAAGAGTATTAAAACTCAACGCATCAAAAAAAAAAGATCTAATTTCAAGTACATTAAGGCAATGCATTTCCCCTCTATGATATACGTTAGGAACCAAAAGGATATACAAATCAGTTTACTTTCTGCATAATAGCAGAATAAAGGTTCTGTTTGGGGTAAATAGGAGCCAGGGACACTTACAGCATGTGTAACTGAACATTTTCAAAAACCTGTCTTTGCACTGCTGTCACTTTAACCTTTAGGAACCTTTTGTTTGATCCTAAATATAAAGAAATTAAAACCAATTTTTATTTTTATTAGGAAAATTTAAATATTACTACTTCAAACAAACTGAATGATATGGGGTCTGTATAAATTTTGTGAAGTCAGCCTTGAACATCCTATGAAACTGTTTACTAGGAAGTGGGCAAAAATCTACCTGATGACAAGGGCTGATTACAGAGGCTCTTACTAGAAAGATGAGCAAAGTGCCTTTATCCCCATCAGCTACTGATATGCATTATTTAAAGCAGCTGCAAAATGAATTTTCTGAAATTCGAAATGAATAGATTTGTGCAGACATTTGTGCAGATTTGATGCCAACACAATACTAAATTCTGTTGTCATGGAGCCTTTGTATATCTTATCTGTTGCTCACTATCATTCAGTTTCCATGCTGATGGAAATAAAAAGTGCAATAAGAGCTTAAAAAACCAATTGAATAATTTTGATTGTATAACAGTCCCAGGTTCAGCAGACAGTAATGATGACAATGATGGTTGTTGTGATGATAGTGCAGTATCAAATTGCAGCTAGATGTCACAAAGAGAGATAACACTGGAGATAGATAATAGGTAAATGATGGAAATTACTTTCTTGGTGTTTCAGGTGGATTTTGTTTAGTTTATACTTATAATTATGTCTCAAATTCATAACAGATGTAATCATTATATCATTAATGAAAGGCTTTTAAGGACTTCTTCACACAGTAAGGGAAACATCTGCTTCTCAGGATGTGGTTTCAGTCATACCTCATACAAACAATTAAATGCTTCATTAGGTGTATCCGGTCTGTTTGAGACAGATTACCGCAAATAAAGGATGAGAACATATTATTGCTTCTTATAGATTTGGATAAGTAGAAGAGATCATTGCCTTGCATAATAAGAATATCAGATGCAAGAGGTCCTGATTGTTTGTACTCATACAGTTGGATGAATATCAATGACTGTAGGCATCAAACACACTGCAATTAGTCAGAACAGAAGGACCCAGTAAGCATGCAACACAGACAGTGGGATAACTTGAAAAGCGTTTATTTAAGCTACGGGCTGCGGATCTGCGGTAGCAGCAGCTAGGTCGTATAATGAAGGTACCTCTTAAAGAGAAGAACACAGATTAGAGACCACCATAATCAGACACAGGAGTACCATAATCAGACAGGATATTCCACAGGGTGAAGTCAAGAGGCAGATCCAGGTTTAAACCACAGAAGGATCTAGCAGATGTTCAAAGACAAGTCAGGCAAATAGATCAGAACAGGGATGTCAGGATCAGACAATCAGAACACAATAACTTACCCAAGAAAAACTCTCACCAAAGGGCTCAAGAATAATTTGGCACTGATGGCTGGGACCAAGCAGCTTAAATATAGGCAGGCACAGGTGGATCAGATGAACATTAATGAGAAACCGGGCAGAGTTATACAGGTGAATGAAATGTGCAATTAAGCCAGCTATCAGCGCCAACATCATGACACATATTGCTGAAACAACAGTGTCTGATGGAGGGTGATTGAAGCACACATGGAGAAGAAAGCCGTTCTTATGCAAGTAAGCTTAGGGTTTACTGAACCTTCAAATAGGGCAATGCTTCCATGCATATTTTAAAGTTAATAAAGCCTTGGTTTTGTAAGAAGTGCAGTATGAAATTAGAGTTGCCATTGCAGTCATCTCACTTAAAAGATTTTCATAGGAAGATGACAGCAGCACACTATCCTTGGTAATGAAAGGAGACTGTGCTATGCAACCTCACAACAAAAAATTTAATAAAAAAATGCATTTCTAAAGACAGAAAAAAAGGATTACATTTGCACATGCTAAGCTATACATGCTAAACAGTGTGCAACGTTTAGAACATTGCAGACTTTGCAGACAAGACTAATAAAAACCTAAGTGTTTCCAAAGACAAATGAATTAATTTACACCAAATCCAGGAGGCACTCCTCCCCAGGTATTTTTCTATAGGTTGCCTTATATTTAGTTTCCATTAACATTTATCATACCAAGTTAATTGCTTTCAAAGAATAAAATTTTACCACGTGATATAACCGGCGTAGTCATGATGCATTGCAAATCTCTGAAATTATGTAATTTGCTCAGTGCACATAATTCTATATAGTCCATCAGTATATTTATGCATTACATGCATGTTGCATCTCTAGCTTAAAAAAACCCTCACATTTGTTCAGATTGGTGCAGAGAACTACTGATTCTGCATACCTTAAGAAAACTGCTGTTAGGTTTTAAACAAAGTTCGTGTGAATGTTTAATTCTTTTACTGTTGTCTTATTATCTGTTTTTTATGGCCTCTCTTTGTAAAAGAAACCCTTACAGATGTAGAAAGTCCTGTTATCAGCAGCAGCAGCTAATCGTCAGGTGGTATGACTTCATAAATATAGCACCCTTGTATCTAATTCTGCAGAGCTGCACAGTTAACCTGAAGATACTTAGGATACAGAGGGCATATTGTTAGACAATCAGGTGAAGAGGAGCAACTAAAAATTTCAAACAAACCTAGCTAGACTAAATGGTGAAGAGTTTGTCTTAAATGCAACCATGCTGAATCCACGTTTGCTGAGAGTGAAGAATGCCCTGATTCGACAATGTATGGCTGAGTTCTTGGGAACGTTTGTCTTGATTGTAAGTTGAACTGATTTATACATTTTTATTATTTCGTGACATGTAGAGCCTGTATTACCTTTTAGAGTGGTAATATAATCAAACATCTATTCTTTGACAAGAAAAGAGTCAGTAAAGTAAATTACGGACTGGTCGAAAATCGGCCAAAATTATACCGGAGCTGCAGTGGCCTGATCAGTCAATCAGCATTTATTTTAGAAAACCTTTTAGATAGATGAGTATAGCACAAGGTGCATAACAGAGCTTCAAGCCAGAGAGAAAAAATCTTGGTAAATCTTCTTTATAAATAAATTATATTTATCTATAAATAAACCTGTTAGAATTCTTAATAATTTAATAATGTAATAGAAAACACTTGATGCAATGAATTAGGTGTGAGACAAAAGCAAATCTGAAAAAGAGGTTAGACTAAGATGATTTTAACTTTGTCTATTTTAAAAGTTTAAAACTGATGTAACATGTTGCTTAACAGCATACTTGCAGCTGAGTTTTGTTGCAACTTGAAAGGATTTATAGTTTGACTTGTTTGTTTTTTTTCCCACCATTTTAACTTCCACAAGTCATACAAAGGCATACAGTTTTTATTTAAACTGAAAGGGGGAAAGTTTTGAAAATATTTAAATTAACTTTGAGTAACCATTGATATAACTTATTACTCCATCTACACATTACAAAAGCATAGACAAGTGTCTAATTAATATCAAAATATTTAGTCATGTAAAAATAATCCGGCCATTCTATTTCCATGACAGTTAATTCTCAGCAAATACTGATCATATGCATGTCTTTCGCATATTTTTGTATAAATGTCCAAATGCTGGGAACATTACTCGTAAATACTTCTCTCATACAACATTCTGATTGGTTGTATGCCTTTAAAAGTGCTGTAAATTCTGAATATTTGCAAGGTTTTAATATGTATAGGTGCTCCAGATGTTTGAATATTTTAACCAAAATTAACAGTTTCATGTTTAAAGAACTGATATGTTGATTACTAGTGTTTATGGCTTTAAATTTTTTTAGAATGATTCAGAACTGTTGTTTATCAGATCCAAAACAGGGCATATATTATCTTCAGTCTGTAATCTGAGGATTCTTATCTTCTTGTTTTTGATAAGTTTACCTTTATTGCCAAAGGTATTGAATGAATAACCTTAACACCTACACGACCTTTAATGTTTGATAATAACAAAGGCTTTGACATGACATTGGCCAACTTTTTCTGCTGTAACAGCTTCAGCTCTTTTAGCAGAGCTTTTTATGCAGCACAGAGGAATATTTAGGGAAAATTTTGATTGTTCTTTTAGAAGCCTATCAATTAGGTCAAACAATAAAGTTGGACACTAAGATCTGGGCCAAACACTGAAATCACTGGGTTGCTGAATGGCGGCCAAAATAAATCTGGAAACTTGAGTAAAATAGGAATGAGTCTGCAGAATACAAATGGAGAAAAACAGCAAAAAGAGTTTGATTTTTTGTTTTATTGCAAAAGGTGTCAGTTGAAAATATAAAGCGAAACTCAGTGTTATAAATGACAGTTTTTGGACATTGTGAAACAGTAAATGTTTTCAATCTTGGTGTTTTTAATCATGTTTTCAACATGAAATATCAACTGGCCAATTTGCATATCGGGGAGGGTGCAAACCCGCAACTATTTTATTTAGCTGCTTTGTTTTCTTAGCATAGGCTTTTGAAATGCATGTTGGCCAATACTTATGCAGATAGGACTGAATAAAAAGGCAGTTCAGTTTGAACATTTGCACTTCTGTGCTAAAGTGAAAAAAAAGTTTATTTTTTAAAAACTCCATAAACCCCATGTTTTGCAATGTTTTGGGTTTTTTTTGTTTTGTTTTTTTCCAAAGTACCAGTTTGCTTAATCACAAAAGCCATGTACCCGGAAATTAAACAAGTAGTGCTTAATTATTACAGTTATCACAGGTAACCTTGCACCTGAGCAGTGTGAGCAGGAGAGGGGACACCAGAAGGGGCTAGAGAGGGGACACCAGAGGGACCTTATACTAGAGAGGGGACACTAGAGAGGCCTGAGACTAGAGAGGGGACACTAGAGAGGCCTGAGACAAGAGAGGGGACACTAGAGGGGGCTGAGACTGGAGAGGAAAAACTGAGACCAGAGAAAAAACTGACCTTGTTGGGTGGTGGAGAGGGGCTAAGAGCAGGCTGACCAGGGGAGCTCTGTAAAAGCCAAGTTTTTCTGCAAATGTTATCAGGAACCTGCCCCGCTGTGCATCCAGCTGTTTCATCTCCAGTTGAAGCAATGCCAGCTGCTCCTCCTGTTTGTTTAGCTGTCTCTCCTGAGCACCAAAACTCCAAGACTCCAAGTCTGCTGGGTCCATTTTTGGCTGGTTTGTACTGTCAAGCTAGGGAGCTAGGGAAAAGGAGACATACACAAGAGAGCAAACAAGAGATATCTAAGAACTCAAATACAATAAAAAATAATTGAACACAAAATGGAGGTAGACAAATGAAAAATCAGAGATAAAACTTAAAAAGAACCAAAACCATGACAGTACCTGCATTCCACATTCTGCATCCCTGACTACCCGACCAACATCTGCACAGCTTACAGCTTGTAGAAATATTCTGTAAAAAGAACTGTTGAGCTGTCGTTGAAGCCTGGACAAGCTTTACTTCACTAAGGGTTTTAACACTGATATCACATTAGTGTTCATATGTTCCTCATATGCTCATTACATTTCGATTACCAAGTATGACCAAGAGTCATTTAGTAGAATCCTGATGTCTATTCGCTGCTAGCTATTTCAAAGAGGGTAAAGAATCATTTGACTAAAGGTTATTGGTTATGGATTAAGCAAATAATTTAATAAAATATTATTTGGCCAAATAATGTTTTATTCACCTCATGGATTTGTATTGTGAATTGGTCTGAAAACATTCCAATTTCTGTAAAATTAGTGCAAAGCTTATTTGATCAGTTGATCATAATCCCAAATTCTTCCAGATAAACTTTGGTTTCAAACACAAAATCCATCTTAAACTGTAATATGGTTTTCACCCATGTTTCCCCTTCCTCTTTTTACATAGTAGTTAAGTTTAGTTGAGTGTCAGTAGTCTTAGTTGAGAGTGTTAAACTGAAATATGTTTGACTTGGAGCTGAATGATTTTTGTTAATAAACTCTTATATTTTGAACAGAAGTTGTGGTGAATTTATTCCATATATGTGCAGAATTAACTGTTTGACCATGATTAGTGCTCGAATCACTCTTTCATTTATTGTTCTAACACACAGCTAGTAGGGCTGTCTATCATAAAAAGTATATAACAGACGAAACAATATCTGATTAAATAAGATATTTACCACCCCTACCGGAAAGGGCAATAAACATCTTAAAGTATCAGAAATATAAATTCCCAGCTGGCTGGGAATTGAATAAAATACAAATCCACAACATTAATGTGGCATCCAATCCGGATGGACATTGAACACAAAATCACAACAGAAGGAACACAGATTGACAGTCAATTTCAAATAATGTCATGCAAATCAAATAGACAGTTGAAATGTGTTGGCAATTTGCAAGACACACTTGATAAAGAGTGGTTCTGCAGGTGGGGACCACAAACTACTTCTCAGTACCAGTGTTAATTTCGTCAACCATGACGATGACAAAAATAATTCAACGCCCCTTTTTCCCGTAATGATGACAAGACATTAACACACAAAAATTGTTTCCAGAAAATAAAAATATGACGAAAATAAAATGATTTTCGTCCACGAGACTAAGACAGAAGAAATTTACGATCGATTAACCAATGGACATTAAGAAATGTAATTGATTATAATTTATTTGTAATTGTTATTATAAGTGTTTCTTGAGCTTCATAGAAGATTACGCGTTGTTGCGTTGTTTGTCCCTACACGGCGCCTGTCCCACAGTGTCTCGCATCAATCAGTCAGTCTCGCAGCACTCAAAACACCTGGCTGTTTGGAGCCATTTCGTTTACAACGCAAAGGAAAACACCGGAGGAAGGATGCCACCAAAGAGTCTGCGGCTTCAACATGGCAAGGAAGAGCACAGCGAATCTCAAGCTAATCTGAGGTGCCAACATGCTGCCGTATGGTAGAAGGTAAGGAACAGGTGGGCCTGTAGTGGTAGGAATGGGTGTGTGTGTGCGCGGACGCATGCATGTGAATGTATACCATAAATACTTTAATGTAGGACGGGGCCTTTATTTCACTCAGGTACATCTTGGTCCAGGCCATTATTGGAAGGAGGCCAGAATTAGAGGCAGGCCTCTATTTCTATTTGATCAAAACAGACTACCAGTGGAATAAATAAAAACGAGATTTTGTGTCTCTTTGAACCTGTAAAATACTAGGTTCCTTTATTCAACAGATCAGATCAGAACGATTGTGTGGCTGGTTATACTCCTGTAGCAGTGTGTCGCAGTGAGCTTGACGCAGACATTCTTGATTTATGCTTAATATTGAAACGTGGTCTGTGCTATACACTGTGGGTCTAGATGCGGACGAGGCAATGAGGAAGTGGGGGCGAGTAGTCAGATAATGGAGGGACATGACGGCGAAAAAGAGCGGGGATTCAGGTGGAAAAAGGGTCCCAGCGTTCTCGCGCACCTCGCTCTTCTAGCTGGTCAAACTTCACGAGTTGTTTTCCGCAATTTTGGTTACAAAAACAAAACAGGCCGACCTCCTGTCTGCGGCATTGTCTGCGCTAAGGACGGTACTTCCCATGCTAATGGCTTGGATTCGTTAGCAAACATTACCCCCCTGTGGTACTTGTATGTTACTATCACAAGTTGTTCAGGACTACCCAGAAACATTGTTGGTTCTAATTATAGCCCCGGCCTGTATAAGAGTCCGGCCAATATTTACCTCCGCCGACAGCCAGACAGGCCATTATTGGAGCCCCGACTGCTAATGGAATACAGGCCAATATTAGAGGATTTACAGTATGTGTGTTCACGTGCGCGCATGCATGTGGCTGTGTGTGTGCACCTTC